TTGTAATTTCACATTGTGAAATTACAAAATTGCCATGGCAACCTTCCGTACGTCTCAGTGTCAAGATGGCGACGAAGTTTTAAAATGTCATGAATGAAGATGTCAGGGCATAAAAATACCCTTTAGAAAACCTAAACACACGAAAGAGCACATCAAGAAGGATTCTAACAGGTATTTTATCAAAAAATTCTGAACTTATAAATATTCAATAAGATTTTGAGAACGCTATATTATTCCCTTTTTTTAGTTAGAGTACGATTAAGCTTTCAAATAGTTTTTCAATCTAAGTAAATTGTTTTTTAATTGAAATGAATCTTTTTAATCGAAATGAAGTGGGATTTTTTTCAATTGAAATGAATTGTAAATAGTGCTATGACTAAATAGTTTATTTAAAACGAAATTAATTGTAAATAGGTTTTAATAGTTAACTTGGTTATCAAGTCCGACTTACCAAGCAAGTGTGTTTGTGGTGAGAAGTATACCGTCTGCCATGCCCATAGACACGATTGTGTTCGCAACCTACTTACCTCACTTATTGGTAAGGTTTGCACCAACGTTGAAGTCCAACCACAACTACAACCTCTCGATAATGAGCGAGTCAACCTCAGAACCGCGGTAACAAGCCCGGAGGCAAGACTGGACTTTAAGGCCCGGGGCTTTTGGTCTCGTGGAGTTACAGCATTTATTGATGTCAGAGTAACGCATGTTAACTCCAAGTGCAACCAGGGAAAAGAAACATCCACAATCTTTAAGGAGCAGGAGGAGGAGAAAAAGCGGAAGTACCAACAGAGGGTGCTGGACGTTGAAATGGGATCTTTCACTCCCCTAGTTTTTGGAACCAACGGTGGGATGGGAGCCGACTGCAACTGCTTTCTCAAACGCCTAGCCGAGAAGCTCTCAGAAAAGAACGAGGAACCTTATCACATTACTATTACTTGGATTAGAACATTGCTTTCTTTTGAGATTTTAAGATCAGTACACATATGCGTAAGAGGTTCTAGGACACCCTTCCACAAAATTCCAAAAGGGGATTTCATTGATGACTGCCGCTTAAGCACCACCCATGCGTGTGTGATGGCGTGAGCTCGTTTATTTATTTGCGTTCGAGGTACGAGAACGTAACCCCTAATTTGTGTTGGGTGTTCTGTGCATTATTGGGTGTCCTGTGCAATTAATAAGAGAGGTTTTTTTGACATTGCATTTTCGTCGTCGTCGTCGTCGACACACATCGATCTGTCTTTGCTGAATCGTCCAAAGCGTTCATCTTTCAGAAGTTTGCTGTTAAATTTTACTTTGGTTTAAGCCTTCATATTTTTCAGCATGGTTCGTCACTGTCTTTGGAAAATGTCAGCGACTCTTGGTGCATGCATCAAACCGGGTTTAGTTCGGCGGCCGTTGTGCCACAAGGTAAATTTTCCGAGTTATGTACATTTGTAGCTCGGCGGCCGTTGTGTCACAAAGTTTTTCTACCGAGTTGTGTAGCTCGGCAGCCGTTGTGCCACAAAGGAAATCTACCGAGATGTGAAGCTCGGCGGCGCCATTTGATCATGACTTGTGATATTTTCGGCACCGGACAAACGAACGCTTTAACTCTATGTTATTTATTAGGAAAAATCAACCCACAGTAGCGCCACTCTCGAGTCACTGAAATCAACGCGCTCGACCAAATTACTGGAAAAGTTATTGACGTGGGCCGCACACACGTTCCATTGAAGGCTTTGACAGGGGAGAAGTTTGAATTCAGATGTGAAAGCTTTTAAAACAGTAAATTCAATGTAATTCATTTTGTCAACAAGTTGATGATTGGATGCTCTTAAAAAATTAACGGAGAAAATTATCTGAGGAAATGTTTTTAAAGAAAGAAAAAGAATCCCGGGTTAAGCACTAATCGCCCTTTGAGCAACCGCGCCCTATAATTCACGCCAGTAAAACAAAATGTTCCATTTACACGCCCGACGCACTCTGGCCAATGTCTCCTCCGATTACAAGCACTTGACACCGAACCATACGATATCTTTTGAAAACGTTCCTATAATGATATACAGTTTAAATAGAGGTTTCGCTGTACGCAACCCTTACGTTCAAAATATGCCATAATCATATTTATCTATATCGCAACCACCCTTCCCCCTTAACTGCTACCTCTAACTAACATATCGAACGCACTCTCCTAAGCTCCGATTACTCCTAGTTTAGTTGAAATGAACCGTTTTTTAATTGAATTTTTTTCCGAATATATGATATATCTTTAATGGAATGAATATTTTTAATCGAAATTAAGTGTCTTTTTTAAAAAAAAAATTCGAAAGGAATAATGTAAATAGTGCTTTGACTGAATAGTTTTTTACGTGAATTAAATTAATTATTAAATTAATTATTATTATTATTACTATTATTACTATTATTATTATCGTTATTATTACTGTTATTTCAGAAGGGCGCCCCATACGGTCCCGACGGTATCTGTCTTAGGGACTGAGTTAAATCCATCTATAATACCTGTCTGTGCAGTGTCCATTTTCCTCGTTTTAAGTACCAAACATCATATCTTCTTGACCAAATGGAATCATAACGACTTCCTTGAGTTTCTATCGCAGTAATTAACTTCTCCTCCTCCAGAAGGATTTGAATGTAGGGTGAGTTATCTCCTGGAGCTGAGCACCAGGCCCTTGGTCCATCTAGTCTTGCATAAGAAGGAGCGCGATCGGACCTTAAGTAGGATGATGATGTGATGCTCTCATCCGGGATTATTTTGTTTCTTGTTCTCATTCCC